TGCTGGTTGCCCATTAGTGCAGTGCATGCTCAGATCTTGGTACTTAAAAGTGGGTGCCCCGTAGTACAAGCACATCAAATTGAAGGTTGTTTTTATGAAATATAGTTTTAAACTCTTGGTGTTTCAAAACATCATAGCATGTTGTTACCTTTCCAAATCACTTTAGAATCCACAGAATACAAGCATTAAGAGCATCAAGGCACATCTGCAGCATGCTTACACTGTGAAGCACAATTGCAAATCTCCTGGGACTCTGTGTCCTTACAAGTACACTCTGCCTTCCTCACTCCTGCTCCTCCCACCCTTTTCAGGCTCTGCTCTGCTACCGCTGAAACAACCCCTTGTCATCTCTGGGAACTGATTTCCTGAGTGTTCTCTTTTTCAGTAGCAATGACAGCAGCAGGTGACACAGTCAGTGTCTAAGGTAACCCATTTCATTCAACTCTTGCTCTAGTTCGGGTCAGAGGTTTACCTTTTTATATCTTTTTTTTCTTTGTTTGTTTTCCTGCAAGGTCAAAACAAGTTAGATAGCACTTTTTGAGTTTTCAGAGGAGACACTTCATCTTGTGTCAACGAGAGTCTGTCTGCTGGAGATGAAATGCCCAATAAATCTGTCCTCGAGCACCATCTGATGGGGAAAGTCATGTATTGACTGGGGACATGTTTCTCACTTTTTCAGGAAACCACATGTTCAGCAGTGATGGGGAAACATGCCAAAGCCACATAAAAATGTTGTTTCCAGATGGACTACCCAGCACACTCTGTAGTATAAATATTTTAGTGTGTTTTTGATGAAGCAAGTCCAGTTTTATAGTTTTAGGGAAAATATGTATGTTCCACTCTGCATTAGGGTTTTCTGAGAATTTCTTTCCCCCTTCAGCTGCTGAGTGGCCTATAAATTGAAAGTAAATACATCAGAAAGTAGGTATAGCAAGGGCTAGAATAGATAGACATCCAGTTATCTGTTTTAGGTAGATATATGAAAGTTAAAACAGTATTTTGCCATGAAGGGCAAAATTTTAAGGACTGTCCTACTTGGTACTAAAGTATAATGCAAACTTCACTGAAACCAGTTTAACAAAAGAAAACTGTGCTGCCTAACAATTTAAAAACTTTAGCATATACCACACAGAAATCACATGGAAAAACAAAGTTTAAAAATTTGCCAAAATAATATGCCTGTTGTTATGAAGAGTATCTTGGGCTCTCTGGGAGCAAGCACACTTCACTCTCCACCAATTCCAGACATCAGCTGATGCTGCAAGAAATGCACCATTTCCAAAATTGTCCAAGTTCTGCCAACATTGGCTGGAGCAATGCTTTTGTACTACAAGAGCTCTGATCCTATAAAAATATCCTTGTAAGTATGCATAAAACATGGCATCTGCAATACACAGTCCCAGCCATGCCAACAATAGATCAGAGGCTCAGGCCAGAAAACATGGAGGAGGGGGTATCAAGTCCAAGGATGAGTAGGAGGAACCACTTTAGGACACAGTATAGATAGAAATCATGACTACCTGATTCAGGTGCTGTTTAAATCCAGATTAGTAGAAGGACTAACAGTCCTTTTTTTTTAGCCTTTTTTTCAGCAGATCATGATATAACTTTCAAGATAAACCTGCAGCTGTGCTTGACACTGTCTGTTGTAATAATGGCCATGAAGACTCTCTTAAAACTGTCAAGTCAAAGAGTTTCATCTCCCTCCTGGCCTATCTATTAGATGGCCAGACCATCTAATAAACAAGGGGAGATTGGTTTAGCATTATTCCCTTCCCAAGATGGCAAACCCTGATATGGTTCCCACACAGCATTGACATGCTTTGGAAACCCTTTCATCCTGAGAGACTTGGCAGAATATGAGGGACAAAAATTGCAGAAGGGTAAGCAGTAGTTAGATGGCTGCGCTGGTGACCCTCAGCGGTTCACGTGCTCAGTTTAAATTTGTCATTTATTACAATAGCATCCTTATTGCCACAGGTTTTGTTTCAAGAAGTAATTTTTTTTTGCCACAAAAGGAAAAGTCATTTTAAATACTCCAGTTTACTTAATTTATTTTTCATCTATTACACATTTGGAAGGATGACAGACTTTCCTATTGTGAAGCACATTTCAGAAAATAGTTCTTTGATACTGCGATTTAAAATAATTAGAAATTTGGATTAATTTCTCTTTGTAAGTTAACACATAAGGTTTTTAAGGCTTTCCTTTAAAATAAGCTCCACACTCTTTCGTTTTTAAAAGCAGTCTGACCTTCATTCACAATCATTTGATTATCAAAGTTCAGACTCCAATATACTCCCTTACAAGATTCATGATCAGCTCTTTGTGAGTGGCTATAGAGGTGCTTCTCTGAGAAGCTGCCAAAAGCTTCCCCTGTGTCCAGCAGAGCCAATGCCAGCCAGCTCCAAGATGGACTTGCTGTTGGCCAAGGTCATCAATCAGCGATGATAGTAATGACTCTGGGATAACACATATAAGACAGAAAAAAAAAGATTATTGTGCAGAAGTAATTGTGGCCAGAGAAGAGAGGAGTGAGAATATGTGAAACCATTCTGCAGACCCCAAGGTCAGTGAAGAAGGAGAGGGAGGAGGGGCTGCAGGCACCAGAGCTGAGATTCCCCTGCAGCCCATGGTGAAGACCATGGTGAAGCAGCTGTCCCCCTGCAGCTCCACAAGGGAGCAGATATCCACCTGCAGCCCGTGAAGGAGCCCTATGCTGGAGCAGGTGAATGCCCAAAAGGCTATGACCCTGTGAGAAACCTGCACTGGAGAGGGCTCTGGCAGGGACCTATGGACCCAGAGAGAGTGGAGCCCATGCTTGAACAGGTACACTGATTGTACTTCTGACCCTGTGAGGGACCCGTGCTGGAGCAGCCTGTTCCTGAAGGACCGCACTGTGTGGAAGGGACCCACGCTGAAGCAGTTCATGTACTGTAGTCTGTGGGAAGGACTCACATTGGAAGAGCCTGTGGAGGACTGTCTCCCGTGGAAGGGACCCCATGCTGGAGCAGGGGAAGGACTGACTCCTCTCCGTGAGGAAGAAGCAGCAGCAGCAGCAACATGGGATGAACTGACAGTAACCCCCTTGAATTGCAGCAGGGGAGGAGGTAGAGCACAGAAAGAAGGCAGGGGTGTGGGGAGGTGTTCTTAAGATTTATTTTACTTCCCATTATCCTGCTCTGATTGATTGGTAATAGATTTAATAATTTCCCCAAGTCAAGTCTGTTTTGCTCATGACAGTAATCAGTTTGTGATCTTTCCCTGTCCTTATCTTAACTCACGAGCCTTTTGTTATATTTTCTCTCCTCTGCCCAGCTGAGGAGGAGAGTGATACAGCGTCTTTGGTGGCTACCTAGTGTCCAGCCAGGGTCAACCCACCACAATTGGTATGTTCATAAAGGATCTCTTCAAATGTGCACAGCCTACAACAGCATGAAAAAAAAATCTTACATTTGCTTCATCATTTAAAAGCAACAAAATCAATACATATCACTATGCTGCCAGCTGTTTTACAGATATTATATTCCTATATACACAATGTCTTCAACATGGCCTAATCAAAATTGTCAGAAAAGTCACTTTTACCAAAGTGAAAATTTTTAAAGGCAAAAACCAAAAAAAAACCCAAACCAACCAAAACCAAATCAAGCCCCTACCCTTCCTACATGCCCAAGGAAACCAAGCCAAAATAAAGTAACAGCAAGTAAGAGAAAAATCTTAATTTCCAGTGATTTGCTGGTAGAAACTCTCTTCCTTTAGCCCATATTCAGATCTGTTTTATTACAGTCTTCAGATAGTAAAACTGGATTCAAGAAACTTCTTAGTAATTCAGTAGTTTGCCCCCTAGACTGTAGCCAAAAATAGCTGCAACTGCTCCTCCCTCAACTTGAAAGGGGGAGTCACATCTCATCTCTGGGAACATCACTGAATCATCATTCTCTGAACTCGCACGGTTATGGCAACTAAGAGGCAACACATGGGACACAAACGTTGTCTCCAGGCACTAGGAATGGCAGCTTTAAGCACTTCATCTCAAAATTGCTAACTTCTTCTTGGTTGAATCCTTGGTTCCTGTGCTTTTTACATGAAATGGAGGCAGATTCAAATGATCATATGAATCACAGTTGGAAGAAAAAAATATCTGCACTTCTTATTGACTAGAACACTTCTGTACTGTGCTGTAGTTTCAGCAGAGAGAGAGGGGAAAAAGCACAATGACAAGATGATGCATGTGGAATGTCACTTCATTTCTAATCCTTAAAAAAAAATAAAAATAGTGCGACTTTTCTGAACCTGGGGCTGTATAAAGAAGGTGTGTTTCTATGGCACATCAGAAATCATTTTGGCCTACAAGTTAAAAACTTATCTTCTGTAACACGTATTGCAACATGCCCCCAAGACCACAGGCTTCCACAGATTTCTCAGTTTTAGTATTTAACTTCATTTTTATTTATCTTATATGGAGCACCATTTTTCAAAATAAAACAAAATTTCCTTACAGGGGAAAGCACATTTTTCACTTCTATATAAACCAGTGAAGTTGTAAAAATTTTGTAAAAAATATTCAAGCAGCTGTATGTGTTAACAGAAGTCAGACTTAATCAGTGCACCACCTCTGAAAGGCAAATGTTACCTCATATAACCAATAAGTATAAATTACTAAATCATTCATATATATTAATTTTTGAAGCTTTTTTCCTACTCTTTTCCTTCACCCCTTACTGGAGATGAAAAACAGAAGTTTCTGATTTACAGTAAGGTTTTAGGTAAACAAAAAACCAAGGAAAAAATGGAAAGAAAGAAAACAGGAAAATTAGGGCAACAGCATTTTGGGGCATCTACCAAACGAAGCAAGAAAAGATAAGACACTCAAAAATGCCTCAAGTTCCTAGGGAGAAATGAAACACAGATTATTGTAATAAAGAACTCTGAGGTTATGTCCTGGAATCATAGCAGTAATAAGCCACCGATTATGTCAATATATAAAATTAAACCAATTCAGTTTTATATATATGTATTTTTTTTTCTCCATAGTGCTGCCACTGGAATATTTCAACAAATATCTGAACACTGGCAGGCACTGGAAAAGGTAAAGAAGAAAATGAAAATAAAAAATGCAAAACACCATCTATGACTCACCTGGAGCAGCAACAGTGTTTGTACAGATGTGTTCAAGAAGATAACTAAACTGTTTTTGACCAAACCCTCCCTTAACCCAAGAGTTACATATAGTTGACTTCGTACTTTCATCAAGTATTATTAAGAAGAGCATATGGAACCTTATCAGTGAAAAATACGTTTTTCCTATGTTTCAAATGAAACACAAACACTGGTGAGTAAATAGCACAAGAGTGCTACAACTACCAGTATAGCTCTGAGAGTAACCTCTCATTAGTCAAGCCATGCAAACAATGACTAAAATACAAACAAAAATTTTTCTCTTGTCACTGAAATGTCACTTATGCCTGAGATGAGAGAGGATGCATTATTCAATATCCATGAACTACTGCTACTTGCTCCAGCACAACTTTACACTCATTCAAAAGAATTAGGAGGGAAATTTATTCTTAAAATGAAGGTTGAAAAATTGCACAGGAAATATTAAGAAATATTTTATGACAAAACTGAGCAGTAGAAGTTATTACTGAACAGAAAACACCAGTTCAAAGTTCAGTAACACTCACATTCAGCCTCAGTTTCAGTCTGAATCGGCTTGTATTATTATAAAATTGTCCACTTTAGGTCTTCTAATACACAAAGTTAGCATATACCCAATTCTGTTACCTGGGAAAGACCAGGAATCGGCAGGGGTTGGATGACTATCCCAAAGTGCCTGATCATGGTGTGCAGCAAGTTTTGTAGACAAAGTATGCTTCAAAAAAACCACATAAGCGAACATCTTGTTAACTGAGCTACTGTCACAGCAGACAAATGGCAATTGACCACAGCATAAGAAATTAAGGCCAACAAGCATATTGCAAATTCTCCTTCTGATTAAATAACAAATATTCACCTTTGAATAAATAATAAGAATTACTTTCTGTATTTTAACAGTCTCTCAATCTAAAGACTGTTTCAAATATGAGCTACAAGCAGGATTCGTGCATTTCATGATACTCTTTTTCCCCCTCAAAGGGTTAAAAATCCATTTTAAAAAAAAAATCACAGCCAGTACAATATATCAGCATAGCAACATTGGTCCCTCTTACAAGTTCTAGTGGTACCAGTTAGAATAACATTTATCTAGAGTTAACATCCCTGCAGCAGAAATACTTGCCTCCACATGAACACAATGTGCCCTCTTAAAAGATCATGTAACCACTGTACAAGCCTGGCACGTGAAGATACATCTGTGCAATCCAAAGTTGTGCCTACTGATTTTTTAACTTCACATTTCCATGACTACAGTATTTTTGTTTGTTTGCATTCATTATCAGAATAGCTACTAAAGCTAGTCCAACAGCTAGACTTGGAGGGCCACAAGGACTGAACTCCTGCGCAATTCCGGAAAGGAGTGGGGCAACTATACGTCCCACTGATGTCACAGACTGTCCAACACCTAGAAGTGTGCCACTGGCCTCATTCCCACCAATGGTCAATTCAAGATCAATGATACAAGTACGACCTATAGTAGTTGAAAAGGCTAAGAATGTGGAAGACAAAATGACCATCCATATGTTCAGTGCCGATGCGTACAGGAGAATCAGCGTGCAGGTGAAAGTGCTGGAGTGCAACAGAATTCTGTAAGTGTTGTGCTGATAGAGCCTTGTTATTGGTCCGAGCAAACAACCAGCCAGGACTCCAAGTGCACTGCTGTAGCTTGTTAAATATCCAGAGAACAAGGGTTTCACTCCAAATCTCTCCTCCAAGGCCAGAGTGAAATTGCTATAGTACAGCAGTATAGCCACAGACATCAGAAACCGCACTAAAAATATATCCCACAAGTTAGAGCATGCAATCTCCTTAATCTTCTTCAACACTGTTGCAACTTGGATCCATGGAGACTGGAAAACATTATTGTTTGTCACAGTTCTATTAGCTGCTGATTTCAAGTGCAGGTCATGATTTGCTTTTGCTGAGAAACTATTTGTTCCCTTGTCTTGATGTTCCCGGTTGGCAGTGTTTTCTTCGTTCCAGGGTAACATCCAGACAAGACCTATGTAAATCAAGAAATCAGACCTATGTAAATCAAGAAATCATTTTATTTCATTTGATTGCATCAACTTTACATGAAAGACATTAGACTGTAACAATTCAAAAAAAGACTTCAACAATAATTTCACTTAAAAAATTGCAATCATTAAGGCTAGTATTATTCACAGTATCAGTTCAATTTTTAATACAGTGAAAGCAACAAAGGAAACCAATGAGATGCCACACTCATAGCATACGAACAAATCTAAAGACTAAAGCTAAAATTCTGAGTTCCAGTCTTGCTCTTTAGGCACATCAAAAGTTCCTATTTGCGTCTGAATGTAAAAGGGATCTATGCAAAACAAAGAAGCACTTAGACGTTAACTGTTTCAAAATTCCCAAAATTCTTTCCACTTAGGTTCAAATTCAAAGAGTAGTATCGGTATACAGAACATTTATGCCACAGATGATAATAATAATAATAATGGCCAGTCTTCACGAGTGAAGATCCGGGGAAGGTCTTTCCACCTTCCAGCCTGCGCATTGGATTTTTTAGGTGAGACACAGTGTGCGCGGAACTGAGCCCACCCTTTAATCCTAAGGTTCATCTACCAGGGCCAAGCGAGCTTGGACGGTGGCAGCGAGGTCCTTAGGACGTAGATGGGTTGCCTTTTAAGGGCTAACGAGCTCCACCTGCCTGGGAGTGGCCCTGACTGGGAATCAAACTACGAATTCAAGGTATTACAGATGGCATAAAACCACAAAAGTACTGAATGAAAGGACCCAAGATGCAAAATGCAACATATAACTTACCACCATTCAGAAGGAAGATAGAGGCACAGATGAAGGACGTTTGATAAAAGCCACCTTCCAACTCTGCAAGGTAGCCACCAACCACAGGCCCCAGAATGAAGCCCACACTAGAGGCTGCATTGAAGCGTCCCATTACCAAAGGGCGGTCTCTCTCCGAAACCAGGTCAGAAAGCAGGGCTTTAGAGATAGACAGTGTGTGTTTGAAAATACCTGCAACACGATATAAACAAAATAACAAGCATGTATTGTTCAAAAGATTAAAGATGACAGAAGCTATCTGAAATACCAGTGGTCAAAATCTGTAAGATTTATAGTTTTAAGATCCCATTAATCACAAATTCTTCAATGCTAGAGCCATGCAGCACACTGGGCCATCATCATAATCCTGGCAAGGATTTGGACATAGGAATCAAAATTATTCAGGCATCCGTGTCAAAGAGTACTCCTGCAGCCCTAATAAAAGAAGAACTAAGTCATGTGTTGAAGCACTCTAGGAATAAAATAGCTGCTAAAACAGGAACCTTGATGGAGTAGAAATGTCTTGTCTGTTTATGGACATAACTCTGTACCAACTTGGCTGAATATGAAGAGTGCCAAGATTGTAACACACCAAGTTCATACAGGAAACTGGTGGGTGGCAAAGGAGAGCACAGGTTAGGCATACTGCAAGAATATTAATAATGCAATCCTTTATGTGGCTTTCCTCTGACCACGGCAATGCTGTCACAGTCACTGTGATGTTAGGATTAAAAACTACTACACCTACTACTCATCTAATCAAATTTCAACCAAGCAATTCATTAGCAAATTGTCTTTAAATTTAGAAACAATATTAGGAGTTCCTAAATCAAAACTACGGGCCATAAAAGTGCCCTTTAGTGCGACGGTTGAAGGTGGATAGGGAGGGGGACCCCAGGCAAGAGGCTTTTCCCTTTTACCTCTAGTCCTGGAGGGGAGCGTGCCTCCCCCCTCCCTCCCACCATGAGGTCTTCATGGCCTCTGCAGAGACCACAGGACAGCAGCAGCAGGGAGAGAGGCAGACAGACTTTATTGTTCTGGGTAGCGACTTAAAATAGTTCTTGGGGGGATTACAAAGTGACCATTGGGAGTTCAGGAGGTCTTACTACCCAGCCAATTACAATAGGGGGTTAACCACCAATAGATAAGCTTTCAGTTATCTCTCAGACATTGCAAAGGTAGAGGTAAGACTGAGGAACCTTGGGAAGAAGAAGGGTGAGTTTACACAAGTTACAAAAGCCATTTTGGAAGCATGTTCACTTAACATTAAAAACCTCTGAGTTCTCTTATACCTAAAAACCTTACTGCAACACCTTAGTAATAGCGATGCTTATTGTATCAGGATATATTCAGTAGGTGTTCAGCTATTTTAAGAACTCTGATACAAACGCTGGCACAAACTTCACTTCTGCACTGCAAACATACATGCTTTTGTACAACATAAATGTTTGGTTGAAGCAATGACCTCAAACTTCAGCCAAATTTTCTAGTATCATTTTGCGGTATATTTTCAGCATAAAAAACCCACAAGACACATATCATTCCATTCTCCATTGCAATTGCAGGCCGTGATTTCCAGCAGTCACCTGGTATGTTGTGTACCTGCTATGACTAATTTTACAATAGCCTCTTTCAAGATATTGCTGCACTTCTATTCTCGTAAATTTCAGCCATTCAAGATGGCATAAAAGTTGTGACACTTGCTGAGTATAGATCTATCCTGGTTTCATCTGGATAGAGTTAATTTTCTTCTTGGATGTAGAATGAGAATAATGTTGATAACACTATGCTGTTTTAGTTGTTGCTGAGCAGTGCTTACCTTAACTCAAGGACTCTTCTGCCTCTCACCCCATCCCACCAGTGCATATGCTGGGGTGTACAAGAAGGTGGGAGGGGACACAGCCAGGACAGCTGACCCCAGCTGGTCAAAGGGAGATTACATACCATATGGTGTTGTGCTCAGCATATAAATAAGGGGGAGAGCTGTGTGGCGGCCACTGCTCAGAAACTGCCTGGGTACTGGTCAGTGAGTGATGAGAAACTGCATTGTACATCACTTGCTTTGTACATTCTAATTCTTTTTTATTATTATTACTATTTCTTTCCTTTTCTGACCTATTAAACTGTCTTTAACTGTACCCATGAATTTTACTTTCTTAAATTCTGGTTGTCTCCCACATCCCGCTGTGGGAAGGGGAGTGAGTAAGTGGCTTTGTGGAGTTTAGCTGCCTGGTGAGTCACAACATTTCAAACTATTTTCAGGAAAAAGTCATGAGAATTCTTGATTTGTAGAGATTTTTCTATTACTAAGGTTCAGATGGTGCTGCTGGGTGATGATGTAGCCATCCATATATGATTTTTTTCCTGTAGTAACTCTCAAGCTAAGACTACAGGGAATTTAAATTGCAAGATGCCAAGTGTTTACTCACCTACAGGGACTCTAGAAATGGCAAACAGCAACACTGTGGTGGATGTTCCAAGAAGGAAGTAACCCAGTGCACTGAGAAGAATACAAGCAAGCAAGGAATACTGTCTTCCTACTATATCACTCCAGCAGCCCTTTTACAAAGCAAGAAAGAAAGATTAGTTTTTTATAACACTAAGCTATGTACAATGAACAATCAGTAGTTCTAAGTTAAACGGAGAAAAGAGATCAAAGGACTGTCAATGAAAGTTTAATAAGTTTATTGCACAACATTCCTAAGTGCTCAAAATCTGGAAGACCCCAGCAGAGTTCTGCCCTGTTGGCAGTGCACCTGTCGAAACTATGATTACATTTAATGTTATGTATAGAGCGTTTTAAAAAACAATTTCTCCCTTTTAAAAATAATGGCCAGTCTTCGCGAGCGAAGATCCGGGGAAGGTCTTTCCACCTTCCAGCCTGCACATTGGATTTTTTAGGTGAGACACAGTGTGCGCGGAACTGAGCCCACCCTTTAATCCTAAGGTTCATCTGCCGGGGCCAAGCGAGCTTGGACGGCGGCAGCGAGGTCCTTAGGACGTAGGTGGGTTGCCTTTAAGGGCTAACGAGCCCCACCTGCCCGGGAGTGGCCCTGACCGGGAATCGAACCCGGGTCTCCGCGGTGATAGCACCGCGCCTTTACCACTAGACCACCAGGGGCTCCCCCTTTTAAAAATAGTCCTGCAATAAACACCACAAAATATTAGCAGTAGGGGCCTTCTGAAAACCTTATCATGACCAACCACAAATATTTGTTTGCATCGATGGCTGATGTGTACTAGACACTTTTTGAACATCCTAAAATGATCTTAGCTATGAGGAGTTTGTCATCTGAGCGTGTAGGTAAGAAGTAGTTACACAAAGGGAAAACACAAAACTTGCATTTAGAATGCTTAAAAATCAGCATGATTTCAAAAAGGAAGTTGTTTTTTAAGAAAGTAGACAATGGTCTTGCAGTTCCAAGAAAATGCCACAAGGTTGGCAAATTATCCCAGATGGCCTGCGTAACAAACGCTGAAAGTTTTTTTTCATGAGATGTTCAAAATCTGCTCCCTTGAAAACTAGAAAACTAGTACCAGGGTAATATTAGGATGTAAAAACCAACAGCTAAGAGAAAACAAAACCAAACAAAGAGCAAAGATACAATGCATTAATTTAGACCATATGCTGAATTACAAGGCACTGCTCACTACGCAGTGAAAGCAAAATAGATAACAGGCTTATGAAGGGCTGACTCACTAGACTGGTTTTTGGACAGGCTACTGCAGTGAAGGCAACTGCTTTACCAGCACCAATGCTGAAGATAACCATGTGTGACTGAGATGTGCTCAGTAACATATCTGAGCCTAAAACTGTACTCTAACTTTTGTCTAAAAACTGTATTCTGTTTGGGTCTGAGAAATCTGGCAATTCGCTATAAATGAAACAAACATTTTTCATGTAAACTAAAAACTTGTTCCTATAATCAAAAATGCTTATAAGAGCACTTTATGCATTTTCAAAATGTCAATAAACACCATTATTAGCCTCATCCTTTTTCCCCCTACAATCCATAGAAATACCAACATGCTCTGGAATGCAGCATTGGAACTCACCACAAATGTGCTGGAAAACAGTTGCATAACACCATAGAGAGATCCTAAACCAAATAAAATACCAGTGTTAAAAATTATTATTTTTTTTTCATGAAAACTACACAATATTTTAAATGATAAAAAATGAGAGAAATTCTGGGAACAATTTACTGGAAGAATGGGAAGAAGGAGCATGACAAACCAAAAGTGGAGTTTAGCACATAATCAAGGAAATAGTTTCAGGAAGGACAAAGAAGTGCTGAAAACTTGTAAAACTATGTGAGGTAGAATGATGTTGCCTTGAATGGTGTAATAAACAAAACAGATACAGGCATTTATAGTTGCTTTCTCAAAATTAGGAAAGAATTTCTCAGAATAAGGAAGGACTAATTATTTTCCACTTGGCACTTCAACCAACTACAAGGCACCACAGATACCTTGAACATACTACAGACCCTACTTTTTCATTTTGGAGACTAGGTATTTATCAGCTGTTAGAGACATAAAAGAATGAACAAAGAGAAGCAGAGAAAAATATCTGCCAGACTGTCTTATTTATAAGAATATAGCTTGAACCCCAGTTTTTTTTAAAGCTAAAAATCAAAGCAAACTGCTGAAATGAAGACATATTTCTAATTAATTGTTGCTTAAAATAATACTGTCAAGTCAGTGTAGAACCAGAATTATTTCATGAAAAGTGCTAAAATAGAAAAGCAATATAGTAAAAAACTGAATAAGAGCCCATGTCAACCACACATAGCTATAAAGAATATCATACTTGTACCACTCCAAATCATAAACAGTACCATAAAACGTACTTTAAAGAACTTTAAACCCACAGAACTTATCACTTAATATTTAAAGATAAAATTCCCAATCTTCAGAATTTACTTGTAAACACTCCTTAAAGTGAATAAATATTTTGCTAAGACAGCTACAAGGATTTGAATCAAACTGGGAGCAATCATGGCCTTTGGAAAGCTTTGGAGAACCAGCTACAGAAGTACTGCTTGCAGAGTCTGTAAATAACACTAAAACTAGAAGCAACACCTCTGGCTCCCTAAATTGCTGAGCTGTGAATTCTTGGATGCAGGAAAAGCATCTGTACAAATATTACTGCAAGCCTTCCTTGGTCTTTCCAAAGCGTACTCTTTCCCAAGCATGTGCTTTTGGCTACTGTCAGTATGCAAGCTTGGACAGGTCTATGGGTCTAACACAGTATTTCAGCCCTTACAGTTTTACTACTTTAATTGTGCTATTAGCAAGGAAGAATTATGTTACAATGTCCAACTTGCAGTAAGTTGGACTTACTGCATAATCCAGGCCTTATCTCAATTCTTTGGTAAATCATTCAAGTACTACAACTCACCTATTATTCCAGCCACTGTATGACTTGCTCCTAGAGATTTGATATGAAGATTCATTAAAGGAACAACCATGCTCACCCCAAATAAATCCTGAAAAGAAGGTAAGCAAAGTTTTAATAACTTATACAAAGATGATGGAAACCTGGATAATAATAGTCAACATTTAAAAAAAAAAGAAGGAAATTTCCTCCATATCAACACAAGGTTAAAAGAAAATTAATTTTTCATGTCCAATGTGGTATGTTGTAACCTCTATAGTGCATCAAGTATGTACAAAACACATAAACTGAAAGATAAACATGGTCTCACACAGGAGTTAAACTTATAAAAACTCCAGTCTTCTCCCTCCCTCCAGATACAATCCTTCTCAAAATACACCCTTAAACATTAAATATTTCTTCAATATATATAAAACTTTACCCTTTTAACAAGAGAAGTACTTGGTACCAGTATTTTAAATTCAAAGTTGTCCATGATTTCAATTACCTAAAAATACTTTTTACTTGTGAAAGCATATTTAAACTTCAGTATTTCAACTCAACTGCAACAGGGAATAAGCTATGATCTAAACTTACCTACACTTTTGTGTATAGCTTAAATGTAGTGAAAAGACAGAAGCATGAAAAAAAATAAAAAAAGAAAAGCATACGTGAAAAACATTTTGTAAGAGAAGGGAATCTGGCACAGCATCTAGTGTCCCTTGGAGAAGATCTAGATTATTCCAAAGCCTAACGGTAACAATGTGTATCACTAAATTCTCCCAGTCCATCATCAATTTATCTTTTGATGCTTGAAATTGAGACTGACAAGGTTAGAATCATCATTAAATACATCAGCATTAACAAACAGAATACATGACTTCCAAACACCTGCAATAACACAATCTTAGGTGTCATTTGCAAACCCGAAGAGAGGTTCAATGACCTCATCCAGGTTATCAACGCAGACATTAAAAACAAGTCTCAGAATATACCCTGGCAGTACTGAACTTGTCATAAGTGCGCAGGTAAGATCCATAAGCAAGACCCATTAACCACCATCCTCTCATGAGTAGTTACTTCTCATTTCATGTATAATTTCTTATGTTGAATGACAGATACCCTGTATTTGCCTGGCTTCAGGAAGTTTGCATTACAAGCAACAGCTCCATATTATATCACCACACCTCTAAAAGGACACTTTGTTGATACCTGTTGATACCTGACACCAGCTCGGTGTCAGCAAGATATTACAGGGCTGGAAAACCAGAGTGTGTAAAAGTTAGTTAAGAAGCAAATCTTGTTCTAACACACACCTTTTCCTGGACTATTTGCTCCAGGACACAAACCAACTAGGTTGTTTCTACTGCCCAACCTAAGGGTGAGTAAGATAGTATCTCGACGTTTCACAGTGCAAATTCGAACTCAATTTGTATTCAATTTCCAAGTAATCCCTTTTAATTTCAAATGGCACTTTTCCTGGAGCTAGTGAATCAATACAGAATATACCCCATCTTTAAAGTCTATATTCTCACAGGGACGGACTTTTTTTTTCCCCTAGAAAACTCCATGTTTTTAGTTTGTGGTTTGTTTATATTATTATTTTTACTTTATTTTATAAGTTTACATCAATCACGGGGACAGTTCCCCTAGCACAAGGCAAGGCTCACCTTTAAGGGCGCTGCGCTATTCCATGGCACCCACAGGATAAAAATACGACCCGTGCATCAAACTTCAGGGCTGTTCGCCCGCCTAAAACAGCACAGCCGCTACACACCACTATCGCTACAAACATCCCAACTCCCCAAGGAGCAGCTGCAGCGACGTACCCCGGAACTCCAGCAGCCTTCATCTGGAGCGGAGAGGATTCCCCTCCCCGGCCGCCCGCCCGCCCCCGGCCCCGCGGGGAGGCCCCGCGGCCCTCCCGCCGCCTCCCCGCTCACCAGGAATCCCACCACGTAGAGGCAGCGCACGAAGCGCCCGGACGGCGCCGGGCCCTCCGCGGCTCCCCGGCCTCCTCCATCCTCCTCCTCCTCCTCCTCCATGCGGCCGCGCCGGGCGTGCGCAGTGCCGGCGGCGCGGCGGGAAAGCGGGGGCGGCGGGGCACGGTCCGGTGTTTTTGTTTGCGGTAATCACCGCGTTCGCTGAGTTTCCTTCTTTTCAGGCGAGGACGAGGAAGAGTAAAAACGTCCCCGCCCCCACCCCGCAAGACTTTGCCCTTCCTGCCTCTTGCGTGTTTGTGCAGGGGAGTTTTGCAACCCGTCAGCTCAGGGCCTGAGGCCCCAGGGAAGGCAGGAAGAGCGAAATGGAGCCGACAGGCGGAATGTGCCTAGGATCGCGGTGCTGGATCCCCTGCGCCGTTCTCGAGGTCGCTGCAGAATGATGACTTCTGAGCCTGTGCTCCTCCGAGCTTGCCTGCTTCACGGGGAATATCCATGGGAAAAGTGGCCGTGTCCCAGCGCCACTGCTGGTGCTTGGCCCTCTCACGGGCTCAGCCCGGTGCCTGCACCCAGTGTTTCTGGCAGCCAAGTGTTTTCCTGCCTGGTTATGTGGCTAGTGGTAGTGGTACTGCCCAGGGAAGAAAGACATCCCTCTTTCTGCTTAGCACGCACACCACTGTGCTGTATCTTCATTAAAAGTCAGGGATAGCTGGAATTGTTGATGGCTGTTATGTTATAATGCATTTCCATCCAGAGGAGTAAACCACCATTCTTAAATTTCTCAGATGCACAGGTGGAAGCATTTGTCACATGCAACATACATTTATGTCGGAGGCAGAAGTGTTCTTTTATATAGTTGCTTGGCCAGGGATCAGTGAAAGGGCTGCAGTTTTAAATACTTAAAAAAAGAATGCACACGGGAGCAGGAGGTGCTGTATCTTGTGTTTAATTATAAGTAAGAAGAAACTTTTTAAAATTTTGATGACTTTTAAAAGCTTCCACCAGTTTGTAAAGTTTGAGAGTGATTATTCCATAACTGACAATAGCATAACTTCTTCGTGTTTTCAGAAGAAATAAATATCACAGGGCTGAGGATCTTTGACAGATTTAGGTCACAAAAAAGGAGGGGGAAATGTGGTTTTCCTTATGGTTCTGAAGAATTAAGCTGAAAAAACCCCAAACCTGTAAAGCAAGACATATTTCTAGATATGCAGCTTATTTGTAAGATACCAAGGCAAAGCTTTAGACTAGTATATGCATAGGGACAAAGATGTTATCACTCAGTTGTTTAATGTCCTAGTGACTATGATGTTTTATAACTGGGTTAACCAATACATCCTATTAATTTATCTCTCTGAGGCCACTTTGAAGAAAAAATCCTCTCAGTGAGGTTTTTAAAATTCTGGATATAACATTAATGGATCTCACAGTTGCATACAATTCCTCTGAAATGGGCAAAATGGTGACAGGATACTGAAATATTAGAGCATCATGGGAATTGCCACTACATTGTCTGCTCAATATTGTGCTAATTTTACCCTTACTCATTTTAACTCTGATAGAAGAAATGGAAAATGCTTGGAAATTTATCAGAAGAAGCTATTAAAGAGGTGAATGATTAAAAGATGTTGCAAAGATTTAGGTAATTTTCCTGGGGTCTAAGGCACATTGACTTTTGTGCAAACACTGAGCCCAAGTGAAATTTTTGAGCTTTTATGTAAATGTTAGTCTCTGCCATAAGTCTGAGAAACCAGAGTTAGCTATTTTGCATTCTTCTCAGATTCTGAAGATCAGAATGATCAAATATAATGGGGACAAAATATTGCAGGCAGGAATATTGAATTCTGACCATGAAAACCCTTAGTTTGTATGTTATTTCAAGCTATCTCTATGCAGAATGCCTTTTAAAGCAGAGAATAACCAAACTTTATGATGTTCCAATAACATTGTCAGTGCAAACTGTTCACAGAGAAAATATTTTTAGATATCTCTTCCTTTAACAGATCTCTCACTGATCTTGTCCTGTCAAACTTGGTCACGTTGTTAAAAGAATTTTGCGTATTACTGCTTACTTTTGCATAATTTGTAAGAAAAAGGCATTAATATATTGTAATGTGGCAAGTATCTCTGTTACCTGTGAACTGAAGGCAGATGAGCCCAGCTGCTTCAAAGTTTCCACTTACGTTCTGTCATTGCAATTACAGAATTCAAGATAAAGGCTCCCAAAATAAAGACATCTTAAGATAAAGGTCCTTAAATAAAGTGGTTTCTTGACTGATAATGGAGTTGACTAGCAATTAAAGGAATGAAATACAATGAAGACCATTTATAAGAGTCTTAAAGAAAATAGAACCAGTCTGGTGTCTTTAGGGGCAGATTGACTTAGTTGGTTGATTAAAACGATACTATCAACATAGCACACTTCCATTACTTTAAGGTATTTGACTTATTACTGAATGATTCTTAAAGACAGTAAGGCCGTACATACTCAGAAATGTCAAACAGCATGTGTTCAGAATTGTCCAGTATGTCTCCAGACTGTTTGTGAATGAATAACCTTCCCTGAAGAAGGGGTATGCCTAGATGATCCTCTTATTTCTATCCCTTTTTCTATGACCTGGTAGAAGCAATAGAATTAAAATGACCAGTCCAAGGAAAGTATGCAGACACTACAGTCACTGCACACAGCCTGAGTACTCAGCTTTCAAAGTATGCAAGTATCCTAAGTGTAAAAGCACAGCTAGAAACAAAGCATGATGCACGCTGAGGAGGTACACCTCTCTGTTGTGACAGTCAGTGATTATGAGAGGAACTTGGTAGTCACAGTACATAGCCAGCCAATAAGTTTTTATTGCTATTCCGTGGCCCAAGAAGCATGTTCCCATCTTTTGATAAACAGAAGAACCAGAAGTAGAAAAGCAGCAAAACTTCATTACATTTGTATCAGTTCTTCAGTCTGCATACTAATACAACATTGTGCCTACATCTCTTGGCCTAACTGAAGATCAATTTTGAATACATGGAAGTGGGTTTAAATTTAAAAAAAAAAAAAAAAAAGAGATAGAGAAAGACTCTAATGGCAGAAGGAATGTTTCTTACAGTGTTGGGCTGCCAGAGATCAGACTATCCTCAGCCTTAGTAGGCTGTTCTTGCCTCAGATTATGAATGGGGGGGAAAAAACTAGTCTGGGGAGAATGTCTGAGGTGCAGTTTGTTCATGAGAGGAAGGGGTGAGAGATCTGCAGGCTTTTGTTGAAAATGGCTACTGTAGCCATTCGGTGTCACCTGCCAAGCTAGGGTTGAGGCAATCTGCAGCTGCCCTGCCTCAGCCAGCTCTGGCTGTGTGTGCTCCGAGCCATGACAAATGAAAGCACTGATGAAGTCATATGAAATCTAACAATTTTTTTAAAAAAAGATCCTTTCATTCCTTCAATAGGGGAGAAAATTTTGAACCTTATAAATTCTTAAATAAAGTCTGTAAAATACTTTTGTAAGGCAGATCTAAGACATCTACAGCAATTTATTCCAGTAAATGGAACATATTGTTGGATTGCTACATTACCAGTGGATAAGGTCAGGACCCCCAAATGTACAATTTGTCACCAAATTTAGTGAATCTAACAATGACTTACTTCATTCGGGTTTATTGCTTCAGATCATTAGGGTAACATTCAAGAGTCATTTCAACTTTTCATATACAAATTGACCCCAGTAGAAAAAGTGACAATCCAGTGGTTCAGAACATTTTAAGAGGTACTTAAATGAACTTCAGTTTGGAATCTGTTGTTAATCTTAAGGACATTTAAAGTGTAACCTGTCTGAAAAGACCCACATATTTAAGGAATGTGGAAAGAAACCTTTTAATTGACTCCACCCTCAAAGCTATAAGTGCTGGGGAGTATGTCAGAGTAACTTAGAAAGTATTTATTAAAAAACCCAAAACAACTTGTTAAAGGGAGGAATTATTTCAGGCATTGGGCCTAATTCTTCCCTGCTGGAGATTCCATGGCAGCATAATTAAGGCCACAAAGCTTTCTATGTTTCTTTCAATTAATGTTTAACAGATGAATACACTAGGACTAGTTTGGATATTATTGATCCTGCTCTGGATCAGAGGGTTGCCTGGATGACTCCTGTTGACTCCAGTCTATTTCCTGTTGTATTATGGTACCTTTGTATCACACACACATCTCCCCACCCCCCACCCCCCACCTAGTCTATGATTTTTAATATTTATTTATTTTATCCTCAGAAGCTCTGTAAAAGCTGGAAGGGTACAGAAAATACTGGAGTCTGGTTCCTCAGACTTCCTGAATAAAATCCAAAAATATGTACCAAAAAGTATCTGCAGTAAACGGAAGATGCTACAGCCTCAGAGTGAGATTCATAATAACTTCTTACTGTGGAAGGACCCATGTAGGACCCAGTAATAAAAATGATGAAGAAAGGTCCAACTCTTAATTTCTGACCATTTCTGGGGTGCAGGTGGATAACTGCTTCCATAGAAAACTGCCTGGAATACCTCCTAAAGTTAGGGAACTCATTAATTTCTATGAAAATTGCACATGGGATGTGTCATGACTTTAAAACAGTGCAGGAGACATTAATGTATTGGCCTGGATTCCCTATAATTGTAAAAATCATAAAAATTTAGAGCACTCAGCGGGGATGGTGATATGATAAAGGAACTCAGATACACCCTCTTGTACCACTGATGATTCTAGTTATCTTGCTTAACTTGCAAGGACATGGATTCATCACACCTTGAATCAGTATTTATGGCACAATTAAAAAGAGTGCTTTTCCATATCTTTCCTGTTGTATCCAATGTAGATTTAATATAGGATGCAATGCAGAATGGAATATATGAAAGAGTGACCCACTCATAGTCATACTAAAGTTTTCTCTTCTGTGGCTGAATAAATCTGTGATTCTTTGTAAAGTGTCAAAGTCCTGAGCATAGAGAGGGGTATGAAGCAGGGTCCAGATGGGATATACACTCTGCAGCTTTGTTAATTGGAGTGCCTGCAGATGTGTAACAATAGATCCTGGATACATAAAAATGTGTAGATGTCATACCTTATAAAGAAGATTTTTCTTGTTGGTTTGTTAGAATTCCTATTGAAGCTGTTGCTTATGTCCCCTATTTTCTTAACATATTCTTACTTATTTTCTTAGTATAACTCATGCGAAATGAATGACTTGCTGATACCTGTGTT